ATCAACAAAATAGAGGAAATCTTAAGTACTGTAGTCTAAAAAGACCAGCCCACATCTCACTTTTTAAAAATTATAGTTCAGGGAATGTTTCCCAAAAAGAATGTGAAGAAAATGAAAGACTAAACAAAGTATTCAAATTCTTAGACTTCTGAACAGAACCTGGGTGAGGTAAGTTTATACCATACCTCATTTACTGAAGGAAAATTTTTTATTCTTATCAATGAAAACACCTTTTATGATTGAAATTTTGATTGATTTATTAATTCATAATGTTTATAGATTTTTGGGTGCTCATGAATCAAACCTTTATATCTTATTAGTCTTATAAGGGATACAGAATATTCTGGAGTGATGTCAACAAGATGGCCTACTAAAGGTGCCTAACATTCATCCCCCTACACGAAAAGGATCAAAACAATTAATAAACAACCACATTGACTACAGCATCTAAAGGAGAGGGTTGGAGTGCAACGGGAGTGGCAGACACTCTAGGGAGCAGAGACTCAGGATGCCCACACTAAAAGGGGAAAAAAACCCACTCTGCCTTTGCCACTCTGTCTTCCTAGTTGGGATCAGCTTGGAACCAGGAGAGATCTCCCTGTGGGAAAGGGGTAAGCAGGAGACTTACAACTGTCCCCATTAAAGCTGCAGACACCTAACAACCTTTGCTGCTCAAAAACCCTGCAGTCCTTGTAGGCCCTGAGACCAGCCTAGTAAGCCATCTGGAGTTCACATGGATGCATTACTCTAAAAATTGTTCATGTTGTTGCCCTTCTCCTCTCTCCCATGATCCAAGCCACACTGTGAAACCAAAGCCATTTCTAAAGCAGTTTCTGCTCTAGGGGCCAGTAGCTATTAACACCTTTCCATCTCTGAGGCTCTTTTGCCACTACATGGCACACATACATGGTAACACTATTCCCCAGCTGAGTAGCTACAGCTTCATACACACTGGTAATAATCTACCTAGGAGGTACTCCATCTTCCCCATCCTAATGCTTGCAATACCCCAAACCCAGCTCCTCAGAGCCTAAGTCCAGCTGAACAGCTATAATTCTGGCACCCAAGCTCATGTAATGTCCTGCTCCCCAGAAAACTAACAGTTCTGCCCAGTATGGAGACTTTTGCCCAATCCAGCAAAGCAGCTCCCATGTACCCTGACATGTGGAATCGCCTGGCACTCCTGTCCCCAGTGGGGAGCCCACTCCTGACCCAGCAGAGCAGCCACTGCATACTCTCAGCACAAAGAATAGCCAGCATCCCTAATGCCAAGGGAGAAGTCAGGCTTGACTCAGAAAAGCAGCTGCACAAACTCCTCCAGCCTAGGTCACTGAGGCACTCACAGGCATCATTGACATTTAATACTGCAAAAGAAACTGCACAGAGCCTACACTACTTGTACATTGGGAACCAAAGGCAATGCACCCTACCCAACCAACACCCTAGGACAAGGCTACAAGCAAAACATTTTCTCTATGAAAGCTACTGTATAAAATTGGAGAGGTGATTGCTCCACCAGATACACAGGTATTATCAATGCAGGGATATAAGAAACATGAAGAAACAATGATACATGATTTCATCAAAGTAATATAGTAACTCTCCAGTAACTGAACCCGAATTGCCTTTAAAGGAATTCAAAATAGTGAACTTAAAAAAACTCAGCAAGATACAAAAGGATATAGACAATTCAACATATCAGAAAAACAATTTATTATCTGAATGAGACATTTAAGAGAGATAAATATCACTTTAAAAAACAGAAATCTTGGGACTTAGGACCTCAACAAAAAAATTAAAAATACAGTTGGAAGCTTAAGCAGACTAGATCAAGCAGAACAAAGAATTTTTTAACTTAAAACCAGCTTTTTGAAATAAGTCAGTGGAATAAAAAGAAAAGAGAATGAAATATGACAAAGACAGCCTACAAGACCTATGAGAAACTATTAAGCAAATAAAAATTTACATTATGAAATTTTCACAAAGCAAAGAGATAGAGAAAGGCACAGGAAGCTTATTTAACAAAATAATAGCTGGAAATGTCCCATGTCTTTAGAGAAATACGGATATCCAGATCTATGAACTAAAAAGATCCCAATTATATTCAACCCAAATAGGTTCCCTCTGAAGCATATTATAATCAGCTGTCAGAATCAAACACAACGAGAGTTATCAAAGCATCAAAAGAAAGTGTCAACTCACAGGCAAGGGAATTCCCATTGGATTATTAGCAGGTTTCTCAGCAGAAACCTTGCAGGCCAAGAAAGAATGAATGAAATAATACATTAAAAGTGCTGAAGGAAAACAACTTCCATCCTAGAATACTATTCCCAGAAAAGCTATCATTTTGAAATGAAAGAGGAAAAAAGTTTTTCCCAGACAAGCCAAAGCTGAGAGAATTCATCACCACTATGATAGCCCTACAAGGAGTGCTTCACTTAGAAACAAAAAGATGTTAATTTCTTCTATGAAACCACACAAAAATGTAAAACTCACTGGTAGAGGTAAACTCAGAATAAAATTCAGAATATGCTATTACTATAATGGTGGAATATAATCTTTCACATATCTAGTATGAAGGTAAAAGTCAAAATGGTCTACAATAACCATAGTTAAAATTAATTGTTAAGGATTACACAATATAAAAAGATGTAAATTAAAGCAAAAAAAATTACCAGTGTGTCCAGGAGAGTAAAAGTCTAGAATATTTACATGCAACCAAAATTAAGTTGTTATTAGCTTAAAATAGTCATCTATTACTATAATATTTATCAGTGTAAGCCTCAGAAGAATCATGAAAAAAATTGCAGCAGATACACAAATGAGAAAGGAATCAAAGTTTATGACTACAAAAATCCACAAAATCACAAAAGTAAACAAGAGAGGGTGAAAAAGGAAAAGGAGAAAAAATGTCTACCAAATAACCAGAAAACAACTAACAAAATGGCAGAAGTTAATATCCTTGAATGAAAATGGATTAAACTATTCAATTAGAATATATAGAGTGGGTGAATTTAAAATTAAAAAACACCCAACTATATGCTGTCTATAAGAGATTTGGCTAACCTGTAAAAACACACATAGACTTAAAGAAAGAGAAAATGATATAACATGCAAATGGAAACCAAAACAGAACAGGACTAGCTATATGTATATCAGATAAAATAGACTTTAAATCAAAAACAGTAAAAAGAGACAAAGATAGTTATTATATAATGATAAAGAGGTCAATTTAGCAAGAGGATATAATTGTAAATATAAACGCACCCAAAACCAGAGCATCCAAATATATAAAGTGAATATTACTAGATATAAAGAGAGATACAGTAATAGTAGAGAATTTCAACACCCCACTTTTAGCAATTAACAGATCATCCTGACAGAAAACCAACAAAGAAACATCAGATTTAAACTACATTCTAAATCAAATGAAACTAACAGACATTTAGAGAACATTCCACCCAACAGCTACAATTCTTCTCATCAGCACATGGAACTTTCTCCAGGATAGATCATATATTAGGCCACAAAATAAGTCTCAACATGTTTTTTTAATGTAAATAATATTGGGCATTCTTTCTGACCACAATAGGATAAAACTAAAAATCAGTAACAAGAGGAACTTCTGAAACTGCATAAATACAAATAAATTAAAAAACATATTCCTGAGTGACCAATAGGTCAATAAAGAAATTAAGGAGGATATCAAAAATTTCTGGAAATACATGAAAATGCAAACACAACATACCAAAATCTATGGGATTCAACAAAAGTACTACGAAAGAGAATTTCATAGCAATAAATGCCTATATCAAAAAAGTAAAAAGATTCAGATAAACAGCCTAATGAAGCACCTCAGGATCTAGAAAAGCAAAATACAACCGACCCCTAAATTAGTAGAAGGAAAGAAATAATAAAGAATTAATTAGTTTGTAGAAGTAAAGAATTAATAATAAAGAACAGAGCAGAAATAAATGAAACAGACTAAAAATGCAGAAAATTAACAAAATGAAAAGTTGCTTTTTTTTTTTTTTTTTAAACTATTAATATATAGAAATAGTTTTATCCATAGTTGCTAAATTTACCATGGAAAATTTTATTTTTCTTAAGCCTCAAATCAAATGTTTTTAAGGGTTCAAGTCTCTGCACATCTTTGTCAACACTTTTTTTTTGTTTGTTTTTTAGTATAGCTATTCTAGTGTGAAAGTATTTGAATTTTTTTTGAGACGGAGACTTTCTCTGTCGCCAGGTGAAACGTTGCTTTTTAAAAACGATATACAAAATCAACAAACTTTTAGTTAAACTAAATTAACAAATGAAAAGTTGTTTTTTAAAAAAGATACACAAAATCAACAAACTTTTAAACTAACTTTAAAAAGAAAATATTCAAATAAATAAAATAAGAAACTTAAAAGCAGACATTACAACTGTTATCACTGAAATACAAAGGATCATAAAAGACTGTTATAAACAACTAGACAGCAACATATTGGAAAACATAGAAATGAATAAACTTCTGGACATACACAACCTGCCACAATTAAATCATAAAGAATAGGAAAATCTGAACAGACCATTAACTAGTAACAAGATTGGATGGCTAATAAAGTCTCCCGTCAGAGAAAAGCTCAAGTCCTGATGGCTTCACTACTGAATTCTACCAAGCATTTAAAGAACTAGTACCAATCCTGTGCAAACTAATAGAAAAAATTAAGAGAGAATTCTTCCAAACCCATTCTATATGCTAGCATTATCATGATACCAAAACCCGACAAGAACCCAACAACAGCAAAAAACTATAGGTCGGAGGCTAAGGTGAGCCCGGGCGGCGGGCGGACAGGCAGGGGCTGGCGCGGGGCCAGGGGGCTCCGGGCGCGCCCACTCGGCCGCCCATGGACTAACGCAGCTAGCGCAGGTGTGGGACGCAGCCTCCCTCAAGCCGCTGCCTCCTCTGGCGGTGCTTCCTCAGGCGGCGGCCCCGGGGCGCGGGCGGCGCTGCCATGGGCTCGCAGGGCAGCCTGGTGAAGAGCTACGACTTACCTTCTCAAGTTCCTGCTGGTGGGCAAGGGCGAGATCCTGGAGAGCTTGCAGGACTGCGCGGCCGAGTCCCCGTATGCCTACAGCAACAGGATCGACTACAAGGCCACCACCATCCTGCTGGACGGCCAGCGCGTGAAGCTGGAGCTCTGGGACACGTCCGGCCAGGGCTGGTTTTGCACCATCTTGAGGTCCTACTCCAGGGGCGCTCAGGGGATCCTTCTGATGTATGGCGTCACCAACCGCTGGACTTTTGACAGCATCGACTGCTGGATCAAGGAGATCAACGAGCATGCGCCCGGAGTCCCCGGATCTTGGTTGGAAACCGGCTGCACCTGCCCTTCAAGCGGCGGAGTCCTAACGGACCAGGCCGGCGCATACGCAGAGAAGAACTGCATGACCTTTTTCCGAGGTCAGCACCCTGTGCAACTTCAACGTCATCGAGTCCTTCACGGAGCTGTCCCTCATCGCACTCAGGCGGCACGACATGGAGAAGATCTGGAGGCCCAACTGAGTGTTCAGCCTGCAGGGCCTCTGCTGCCGGGCCATCGTCTCCTGCACCCCGGCGCACCTCATCGACAAGCTTCCACTGCCCGTCACCATCAAGCCACCTCAAGTCCTTCTCTATGGCCAACGGCATGAACGCGGTCATGATGCACGGCCGCTCCTACTCCCTGGCCAGCAGGGACGGGGCGGTGGCAGCAAGGGCAATAGCCTGAAGAGGTCCAAGTCCATCCGCCAGCCCCAGAGCCCCTCCCCTCCCCTCAACTGCTCACGGAGCAACTGTAGTATCTCCTAGCAAAGACGGGTGGGGCCGCGGTGCAGATGCTGGAGGGGCTTGAGGTGGACGCTCCCGGCCAGAGGAAGGGCCAGCGCCGTCTGCATGGAAGACTGGCCACACAGCTGCCTTGGAAGCGCTGGGCTTTCCTCACACCTGAGCCGGATGCGGGGAGGAGCATACACGGAGCACGCGCGGCAGGCGGAAGGAGGGTGCGCGCCTGCGCTGCTGGTGCTTCCGAGAATCTTGGTCTGCAGCAAGCCGGGCTTCCCCAGCTGCCTGGGCACCGCTGGCAGGTAGGCTGGCTCGCCTTTTTTATTTATATAGAGAACACTTCACCCTTTTTCTAAATTTTTAAGAGGCCTTCAGGGAAGCCTGGGTGTGGCCCCGTGGTAGACTGGTGACTTTATGGCCACACCAGCCAGGTGGACGCACTTGAGACGCCTCGGGAGGGGATTTGTGGCAGCGATGGGAAGGAGTTGTCCCGTGAATCCACGCGCGCGAATGGCGGGGCTGCTCAGAGGCCAGGGGAGCAGACGGGGCCGGTGCTTCCTCTGGAAGCTCAGGTGACCTCTGCCCTGGTTCCCATGGGCCGCTCTGACCTCAGTGGTCACCGTGCTGGCAATGGTTGGAGGGTGTGGCCCTGTGGACAGAGCCCAAGCAACACTCAGGAGAGGGGAGAAGTGAGGTGCGCCTGCGAGCCCACACTTTTGTTGCTCCCCAAATTCCTCCCGACATGGGGCTGAGAACCTGCTGTGATGTGACACCTTCAGGGACGTTTATCACTCAGAACTAAGAAAAGCATCTCTCCCACCCTGAAGAGGGCAGAGCTATCTGTAGTCTTACGAATACTTGACGGGCCGCAGCTCACCTGCCTCCGGCGGCATCTGGACCCCCACACCTGCGTGCAGACTCCTGTTCTCAGCAGCTTCTGTCGCTGGTCCTGGTGTCCCCACAGCTGCTGCCCTCCTATGAGGTCGCACAGCATCGGGACCATCCTGACCTGCTCCTGCTTCTTAGGGAGGCAACTGCCTTGTCCACGTCCACTTTGGGGCCTCGGGAGGCTGGGCCCCTCCTCAAAGCCCCAGCAGCCCGGCACTCGTGCTGAGCCCCAGGTACGCAAGGCAGGCCACCTCTCTCCTTCTGAAGCCATTGGCCGCTCCTCTGTCCAGTGCTTCTACTCACATCTGCCCCCAGCAGCCCCAGCCCGCAGCACTTGTGCTCACCTCTGCCTCCTAGCCTCAGGCCGCACGGCACAGCATGGCCAGCAGGCAGAAGGAGCCCTCCCAGGGCCAAGACCCCCCCCCCACAGCAGGGACTCCATGGCACATGCTTCCCAAGGTGGCCCCACGGAGGCTGCCACCAGGCACCAGTGGACTTGAAGCCCCATGGTCGGTTCCCGGAGATAAGGGGCGGGGCCTCTGTGAGCTGCTGGGTAAGTAAGGGAACTTCGGCCAGGCAGCCCTGCCACGTCCCCCAAAGACCCTGGCTTCCTGATCCAGCTTCCCTGTCCTGGCCCTACCTGTCCTCTTGCTGCCAACAGGGCCCTTGTTTGGGATTATGAACAAACCACACAGGCTTTGAGGATCTAGACGGTCCTGTGTTCACTACCCTCACTGCTGTTAGACACTCATGCCATTTCTGGTTCTTTCCGAACGTTCTTTCTTCTTTGTACAGTAAAAGTAATTCTGCTGTGGGGGAACTGTAGGTCAACATTTCTGATAAATATAGATGAAAAATTTATCAACAAAATACCAACATACAAATTCAGTAGCTCATTAAAAAGCTCATTCACAATGATCAAGTGGGATTCATCCCAGGGATACAAGGATGTTTCAATAGTTTCAACATAGGCAAATCAATAAATATTATTTATCCCATTAACAGAATCAAAGACAAAACCCATATGATCATTTCAATAAGCACAGAAAAATCATTTGAGAAAACATTCCTTCATTATTAAAAACTCAACAAATGGGGCATAAAAGAAACACACTTTTTCAACACAATAAAGACTGTATATAACAAACTCACAGCTAACATAATGAAATGGGAAAGGTTCCAGATCTTTTCCTCTAAGGTCTGGAAGAAGATAAGGATGCCCACTTTCAACATTTTTATTTAACGTAATTTTGAAAGTCCTAGGCAAAGCAGCTAGTTTAAATAAAAGAAAGAAATAAAGGGAATCTAAATTGGAAAGGAGGAAGTCAAATTTCTCCTCCTGCAGATTACATGATCTTATGTATAGAAAACCCTAAAGACTACACACACACACACACACACACACACACCCCTGTTAGAACTAAAAAATTCAGTAAAGTTGCAGGATACAAAATCAGCTCACAAAATTCAATAGTGTTTCTATATGCTAATAGCAAACTATCCGGGAAAAAATTCAGACAAGCAATTCTGTTTACAATGTATATGAAAATAATAAAACACCTATGAATAAATTTAACCAAGGAGATGAAAGATCACTACAATTAAAATTATAAAACATTGGTGAACAAAGTTGAGGACACAAAGAAATGGAAAGATATTCTACTTTCATGGATTAGAAGAATGAATACTTTTAAAATTTCCACACTACCCAAGGCAATCTACAGATTTGATAGAAACCCTTTCAAAATACCGATGGCATTCTTCACAGAAACAGAATCCTAAAATTCTTTATAGAACCACAGAAGACCCCGAATAGCTAAAGTAATCTTGGGCAAAAAGAACAAACCTGAAGGCATCACTGTCTGACTTCAAAATATACAACAAAGCTATGTAACCTAAACAGCATGGTAGTGGCATAAAAACAGACATACAGACCAATGGAACACAATAGAGAATACAGAAATAAAGCCACACACAGCCAACTGATTTTCAACAAAGACACCAAGAACATACACTGGGGAAATGGTGTATTCAATAAGTTGTGCTGGGAAAACTGAGTATTCATATGCAGGAGAATGAAACTAGAACACCCTCACCTTATAAAAAAAAATCAACTCAAAATGGATTAAGACTTAAATATATGACCTAAAACTATAAAACTACTGGAAGACAACATAGAATAAATGCTTCATGATACTGGTCTGGGTCAGAGATATTGTCAAGGTAGGTGGAGCTCCGTAATGGAGTAGTGATCATGATGGCATGGATTGATAAATTGATGATTTTTGTAAATGAAGAGTGATGCTCAGAGAAGGTCTGGTGGAAGAACATTTCTGTGTTTGTAATTTAGTTGTACTTTTGGTCAGTGAGGAAAGTGTAATCCACGTGTAATTTTGCCTGTATTTTATTGCTGTGTGGATTACATTGGTTGCTTTTTGAAATATTTAAGTAGTGCATCCCTGGGATAAATGTCACTTAACCATTGTTTAGAATTCATTTTATGAATTACTAAATTGTATTTTTAATATTTTAAATGATTTTGTATCTAAATTCATGAGGAATATTGGTCTGTAGTTTTCTTTTTTGAATGGTCTTTGTAGGGTTTTGGTATTAGAGTAATAATAGCTTTATAAAAGGAATTGGGATATGTTCCCTCTTTTGCTGTTTTATGGAAAAGATTGTTTAGAATTGGTGTTAATTCTTCCTTAACCATTTGATAAAATTCTTCAGTGAAACAATCTGGGCCAGGAGATTTCTTCTTTGGAAATTTTATATTACAATTATAGTTTCTTTAGTAGATACAGGGCTATTCAAATGTTTGTAATAATTTCTTATTATCCTTTTGGTGTCTGCAGTGTCTATAGTGACATCCCTGTTTCATTCCTGATATTGGTAACCTGTGTCTTTTCTTTTTTAGCATTTGTAAATCTTGCTAGAGGCTTGACAATCCTACTGTCCTTTGCAAAGAACCACCTTTTTTTGTTTGTTTGTTTCTTTTTAGTCACTACCAGCAGAGTGGGACAAGAACCACCTTTTGTTTCACTGACTTTTCTCTGTTGCTTTTCTGTTTCCAATTTTATTGACTTCTGTTCTTTTTTAAAAATTTTCTTTCTTTGGGTTCCTTTGTGTAATAAATTTTAATTTTATATTGCTTCAGCATTCATTTTGAATACAAGTTTAACTTTCTCAAGCCAGAAGCAGGGCTCAGTCACTCTTGACTTTGAGAATTTTACTTTCATAAACTTGAAAGTCACCTGTGACATAGTTTCCAGATCTATACCACATCCAGATGGCTCAAGCTGGTGGCCAGAGATAAGAATTTAGAGGGATCTCTCCCCACTTTCTTTCCACTTCTTTTGGACAAACCATTCAAGCTCTTGCCTGGGAACTTAAAGTGACCCACACCCTAATCCATTACATGTACTGCCAGTTGCTCTGTGCTCTTCCCTCCCTACCTGACTCTGAATTCCTGCTTCACATGACCCAGGACAGAGGACTGCCCTCCCAACTCATTACAGCCTCCTTACCCAGAAGGTGTAAATAGAAAATCTTTGAACTTGTTCACTATTGTGGTAGTACATTACATTGGCACCTTCCATCTGAAGAACTAAGTAAGGGCTGCCACAAGTTGAGTTTTCCCCAAATGCCAGGGAGAGCACAAGATGGGCTCACAGTGCCAGAGCAAAGATCAGGCAGATATAAAGAAAAGAACCATGAAGGCATCTACAACTATAAACAAGGATCCTGTGTAAGAGATACCCTGGTCAAACAAGTAGGTTTTATGCCATTTGCCTGGTTTAAAAAAAAAAAAGAAAATAAAAGAAAAAGAAGTATTCATGAAAGGCACACTCTAAACACTCAAACCCAGCTCCCCTTCAATTTCCATTAGGGCAAGGTTGCCAGCCACTCTGGTACTAAAACCCCAATTTACTTGGAGGCTCTCAAAACACTTTGATCTTCTTTTTGGTGAATACTTAGATTTTGATTTGAGATTTTTTTCTAATGTAAGCATTTGGAACCATGAGTTTCACTCTCAGTAGTGATTTAGCTTCTTCCCACAAGTTTTAATATGTTGTATTTACTTTCATTCAGTTCAGTTTACGTTTTGACTTCCTTGAGGCTTTCTCTTTGACCTATAG